CCAATAGGCGGCGCTGTAATCGTGTTATCACTAAAATCGTATTTTTTGTCCGATTTCGGTCTAATTCTATATACGTATTGGTAAGGGGAAGAAAACAACTCTGCAAAAAATTTATCAGCTATGGGGTGCTGGAGTTGAGTTATCTTTACTAATATATATTTTGAAAGCCGTTTTTTCTCTCAAGTATGGTTATAGGTTAAAAATTTCGATACATAAAGAGGGCGTGGTACCTCCCATATAAACTGAATTTCTCATACTGCATATCTCTGGAAGTGTTCATGGTAGAGTACTCGAACGTGGTATGGAGATATATGAAAGCAATCGCATACTCATGGAGAAAAGTGAGACTGTTCGAAAAGGGGGCGTTGTGTGTGATTGAGGGGTTCTCTGGATAGTTTCAGCTCACAATTTCAGCCGCCAGGTAGAGATGGCGTCGAGTGCCAGGTGGCGCTGGAGTCAAGTTACTACTAAAAAAAACGTCAAGCCAGAAAAAGTGCCGTGAATTTCCGATTATTGCGACCCTGCTGCACCACTGAGTATGCCGAACTCCCGTGTGCTCCGACTGGCCCAATGGCTGTGATTTATGTACTAATATTACTATGCGTTAAAGCTTCATTCGGAGACAGCAGCACTGATTTGCTCAGGGGTCAATCTCAAATGACTTCAACCAGCAGAACTATTGCGCTCCTTGAAAAGATATTTAAGATATTTCGTCGGAAATAAGTCTATGTATATTGGATTTCTGTAGACCAACTAGACTCCCCCATTTTGAAATTGCCCCCAGCTACACTACTCAGTTTCAAGGACAGACTCACAATTGAAGTGGATCATTGTTGCCGCCAAGGAGTGAATAGGAAAAAGTTCTTAAAATTTATTTCGTTATTCGATTAACCGTGCTTTGAAAGGCCAGATCATGAGGACATTCCAAGAACTTCTTCGCGGAATTGGTGGTGAAATTCTTGGATCAGAATGTTTCAATAAAAAAAAAGTTTTGGGCAGGACAAGTTCGCCGGATCAACTATTTAGTTAATATTAAAGGTATAAATCATGAAATAGCACAAATAAAAAAATTTCAAAAATTAAAAAAAAAATGATGAAATTTAGAAAATTTAATTATGTAGGTTAAAATAACGCTGACTTAAAAATCTACATCGATTGAACGTTGCCGAAAAATATATAAAGAACATTAAATTTTTTTAAAACCATATAAATTTAAAAAACTTTAATATTTTTATTTACTGCCCACAAAAAAAAATAGTTATCGTTTTTTTTTTTAAGAAAAAATATTTTTTTAGCGATAACTCAAATTAAAAATTGATAAAGGGATAAAACCTTACTTTGTTTTTTTTTTTAACCAGCAAATTCACTTTCCAAACTTTTCAAAAAAATACCAACCTAAAATTCTTGTACTTGAAAACGGAAAAAGAATTTCTGTCAATTCATGTCGGTTCAAAAAATACTTTGCCAATTTTCTTGAAGATAAAACTACATATACAAGTACACATTCTACTTGAGACTTAAGTCAAAATTAATAAGGAAAATTTTATTAAAAAGTGGCTGACTTTACAATAAATATATTTCTTGCAAATATAACAGAAATATTTTCTGAAAAAAATTTATAATTTTTTTACACAAAATTTTCGTCATTAATTTTTTAATAAATAATAAATAAGTTGAATAAATTTTAAAAAAGTATGGCAGTAAAGTACCCGAAAATCGTATATTCAAAAATATTATTTAAAAAAAAATGCATGTAAAAAAAAAATTAAAAAATTATTATAAAGAAAATAAGTTTTGAAGCAAAATACGTTAAAAAAAAATTTTCAGAATTTGAACAAAACAAAAAATAGTAGGGCAAAATATTTTTTCTACGATAGCCTATAATTAAAAATGGGCCAAGAGGTAAAAAAAAGTTAGGAAAACTTTAATGTAAAGTTAAAAATATTAGAAAAACGTTAAACTTTTTGTGTTGGAGTCATAAAACAGGACAATTTTATTCGCTTTGGGAATAGGAAATATTGGGCATCACACTAATACAAATGCAACTGCCACACGACACTAACAAATTTTCTAATAAATTTCCGAAATCGCCTCAACGCCAGTGCCATCCGATGCACTGGTGTGTATGGAACTAACTATTAAACGAGTGTGACTGCTTACGTTCACGCACTTCGTTGAAACTGCACTGTGTGTGCGAGAGCGAATGCATGTATGCCTGAATGTGCTTTGCAAATTTAGATAGCAAAATTAATTTAATTATTTGTCATTCGTTGCCGCACGCACGCACAGTTGGTTTAACTGGCAACAGTAGGTAGTGTAGCAGCAGCACTCATATATATATATGTATATGTATATAGTGGATGGGTATGTGTGTTTTTATTCCCTCTTCACCTTCATCTCTCCCTCGACGATCATTTGCCTCGCGCCACGCGACACAGCTGCAACTAGCATTAACCGCCTGCTGGCCGCCCTGAGCGCTGTATTGCTCCAGTGACAAACGTTGCCTAGTTTTAGGCGTTTCCAAGTATTCGCACAGATTTATGTGCGTGCGTGTAATTGGAGTGCTTCTAAGCAGCAGCAGCGAGTGCATAACAAACACAGTCAGCGCGCGCTCACCTGCAAACTGGACTGCCAACTGCCGCCGGGTAAGGAACCCTTCATCTCAAACTACAGCAGCAACAACACTCAATCACTCACACTTCAATCTGCTGGCTGGCGATTGCCTTGACACGGCCTGATTTGACGATGGTGGCGCTGGTGGCACTGGTGGCTGGTTGGCTGTCATCATTACTGGGTGATGTATGCGGCAAGTTAAGTTGAACGAAATTGATTTTGTAATCGAAGTCGCAGCCATTCGAAGCCCAGCTGCCCAGCAATGCACGCATTGAATCGCAAACAGCGCAAGGAAGCTGGCTGTAGTGGCACCTGTTCACTTCTGTAGTCCACAGCAGGCGCGCACATAGCCAACGGCAGCCACACCACACAGCAGTCAACAACATATGCTGTTTCACTTACAAAATACAACCAACCCCCTCACCCGCCCCCCCTGTATGTACTTGCAAATGGCAATATCATTACGATTCAATAGGCTACGCGGCAGGCAATGCTTCTCGTATTGTTGCTGTCATTTGTATATGCTGTCAACTCGTTGTTGTTTCAATTACACAGCCGTTTGTTGTTGCTGCATCATTGGAGGACGCCGTAGGCCGCACGTCGCATCATTGATGTCGTGTCAAGGTTGTACATGACTCATGCCAGCAAACACACACACACATACACTCAGCGTCGTCTCAACCTCTCACTCCCCTTTCCTGATCCAAACACTTGAATCACTTACTCACTTACACCAACACCAACACTCACACTCACACGCTCAAGCGAATGCCAAATTGTGCATATCTGCTTTCAGCTACTTATCTTACATTGCCATCATTTATTTATGTCCTCCACTGTACGCTGCATTTTGGCAATTAAATTTAGTTTCGGAATCAGCACATCTGCTTGGGTTAACTCAAATAACAGTCACAATTTGTCTCTCCATTTCAATTAAAGTTCATCTAACTGCTAATTAAATTTGCTGTTATGCGACTGAGATGGATATCAAAATTAAAGCGCAAAGTGACAGGAAAATTAAATGTAAACTTTTGTTAATATTTTTCACTACACGAACGCTGGCAATGAAAATCTTAAGAGAAATTGATTGCATGATGAAATTATGCCAGGTGTAGTTGTAAGAGCTAGAAAAAAGATTAAAAGATTTAAGAAATTCCTATAAGATAACCGAATGTCAAGAAAATGAAGCGAGAAACCTGTTTTATTACTTCGCCTGTTTAAAATTTCACCATAATTTTATCCCTATCTTATTGTTATCGTCGAGATTCGAATGAAAAGTAATTTAAACGCAAATTTATCGGCATCCATACAATTTCATCGATATACCTTTGCAAACAAATTACTAGTATACTTGTCGCTATCGATGTATTTTTATCGATACAATTATCGACTTTCCTAGCTTTAATCATGTCTTTATCGCTTCCTATTGTTTTTATCCATATAACTATCGCTGTGGACACGTTTATCGGTTTAACTATAAACTTATTTATCGCTATCGAAACTGTTATCAAATTTTTCATCGTCATCAGTACCGTTAATGTTATCGATATCGTTAAAAATATTGTTATTGCTAACAATTTAATTGTTATTATTGATATCGTTCTTAAATGTTATCGTTATCGATATCGTGATAGCATTTTTTGGTCGCTAGTTTTAAATATGTGTAGTATTATCGACAACGAAATAATTATCGGGTTGCTATCAGTTATTTTCGGTATTGAAAATATCGATTGACTAATATTGGGTCCTAAATATGTCTGTAAAAATATCCATCCGCTAATGGTACAAGTCCACACAAAGCGACATCAAATACTCATTCCCTAGACTCAGTTCGCCAAGCGTCGGAATGACAGTCCTAAGTCATGTAAACATTTAGCGCCGGTCACGGGTTGAATATAGAGGTCCATCAGACCACAGGGGCAGTTATTCGTCACAATTTAGATATTCATCCCGCTAAAAATGGAGATAGATATCGGTTGTGGCAAATGGGTAGATACTAAATCGAAGTTCACTAACTAAGCTTTTCAACTACCAATTTATACTGGATCCTTGGAATAAAGGCGTGATCGAGGAAAAAAAGCACAAAGAATGAAATCAAGATAGAAATTGACAAACAAAGAACACGGAGCTGGCTGAGGACAACAGTAAGGTTTCAGCAAATTATAAATAGAGAGAGGTGTTAATAAAAACTTCTCTTCAAGTATATATCTTTTACATAACCTTGATAGCATTCTGGGTGCGGCTCTCGAAAAGCAAGAATTAGAAAGAGCACATTTTTTTGGAGCAACTGAATTATTTTATCTCAAAACAAATACGCTTTCGAACTGCGATTACTTTATATGAATTGATCTCAAACTTACCCATTCTTTATTCTCTTTCTTTTGCAGGCCTATCCAAATCGTGACATCACCAACATTGTTGAATCTTCGCATTATCAGAAAATCGGTGGCTGGTGTCGTCAGGGAGCTTTGAACTCAGCCAAATGTAAAGGGGCACATCGCTGGATTAAACCATTCCGTTGTTTGGGTGAGTGGAAAAAGAAAGAGAAATAAAAAAGAGAAAACACGAACAATATAGGACTCTCTTAGAAGAAATAGACGCTAGTAAAATATCAAGATAAGTATAATATAGAATTTATAATATATAGTCTAGAGCATAGCACTTAGGATATAGAATATGGAATGTATATTACAGAATATACAAAATAGAGTATATAATATGGATTATAGAACAAAGATTACAGAATACACAACATAGAACATAGAATATACAATATAAAATATAGGGCAATTAATATAGAGAGCATATAATATAGAGAGCATATAATATAGATAACATATAATACAGATAACATAGAATGTAGAACATAGAATATAAAGTATAAAACATAGAACATATGGTATAGAATATTGAATATATATATGCGATATAGGATATAAATCATAAAATACAGAACATAGAATATACATATAACATAAAATATAAAGATAACATAATATTTAAAAAATATAGAATATAGAAGCCAGCATTTAGGATATAGAAAATATGGAATTTATAATACAGCATATAAAAATGGATTATAGAGCCTATAATATAGAGAACATACAATATAGAACATAGAATGTAAAACATAGAACACAGGGCCTAGCATATAAAATGTAGAACATAGAAAATAAATCATAAAATAAAGAACAGGGGATATGTATAGAATATTACTCATATGCGATAAATGATACGAAGCATAGAATACATAACATAGAATATATAACATAAAATATATAGAACTCAGAAATAAAAATCCATTAGAAAAAACTTAGATTATAAAACTTAAAGCATAATAAACGCAAGATGAACGAAGAACAGTGCATAGCTGAAATGAAAAAAGTAGTATTTACTGCGAGTATTTATTATCTTTCTTTTAAGAGAGTCAAAAGTAATTTCCGCTCTGTAAAGCAAATTTTAAATTAAGTTTTGTCTTCATTTATCAACCAACTAACTAATTTCGATCGCCCTCGTGGCCATCTCTTCCTTTCTCTCTCCCTTTCGCTCTATTTCTTTCTATCTTTCTTCGCCTTCCTTTTTTCATGCATTTCTCTCCATTCCATTTTCTTTCCATTACCATCATTTTGTCACTCATTGTGTGTGTGTGTGCAATTGCTTTCAGAAGGACCATTCCAATCGGATGCACTGCTCGTCCCCGAAGGTTGCCTCTTCGATCACATTCACAATGCATCGCGCTGCTGGCCATTCGTGAGGTGGAATCAAACTGGCGCCGCTGCTTGTCAGGAACGTGGAATGCAGATGCGTAGCTTTGCCATGTTGTTGCCTTGCGGTATTTCATTGTTCTCGGGCGTGGAATTCGTTTGCTGTCCGAAACATTTCAAAAGTGAGTAATACAAAGGCGAGGAGGGTCAATGCGAATGCACGCACTGCGGGGCGGTGAGCGTGCCATGTGGTGAAAATATTTGTTTTTATGTGTGTGGCAGCTAAGTAACAGCTTGCTGGGGTCGATTGTGCGGGTCATGGCAGAGTGTGAGTGTTAGCACTGTTGGGAGGTGTACCATCCGCTTAAGGACAAGCAAATAAACAAAATACTCTTACTACGAGGGTGTATAAATTAAAAAATAAATGAAATATGGACTCCCTAGATGAGTTTCTAAGTTTGACAATGCTGCTTCTCTCTCCTTTGAGCTTAGTCAACTTCTTCTAATAATATAAATGAATATGTACTACTTTTACCCTGCCTTGTCTACTATTGAATATACTTTATTTCCTTTTGTTTCCCCAAATATTTGAAATTCCTAAACTTTCCGCATCATCCCGATGTGCAAATTTCCTCAGTTGCCTTTCAAGGCCAAAGAAAATTCGTGCATTGCTTTGTGCTTCCCGCAGGTCTTGCTGCTGCTGCTCGCTGTTTTAAAAGCCACAGCATGAAATACTAAATGCATATTTAATAGCAGAAAACTTTGCCATAACAAATTCTTAGACCCCAACAGGCTGCTGTTGCCAAAGCTCAATCCCTTCTCAGCCTTCGAATATATAAAATTTTCTTAGCAAAATATACCCCAGCTCTTCACAAATTCGCAATGCAAGGATTTCTTGTTTTAAATTTCTAATTCTCCTCCACATACACACACCACCCTCGCCTACTATGCGCGCGGTGAGTAACCGCCACTCCTGCATTCGCAACGCTTAATCTTTTCCGCTTTCCTATTTCACTAACACCGTACAACTTTTCTCTCTCTCCCCTCCCTTTCCCACCTCAGCCGATGAGATACGCGTAAAGAAGACCGACCTGCCCGTTATCGCCCCAGCTGAGATTACCAACAGCAATGTGGATGTGACTAACGATGATGACAATGACTCCAACTACTCCAAGGATGTCGGCGCCGATGATGATCTTGACGAGGATGATGACTTAATGGGCGATGACGAGGAGGACGAAATGGTCGCCGATGAAGCAGCTGCTGGGGAGGCAAATAGCTCCAATGCGGACGATTTGAATGGCGAATATGATTCGAGCGAGGATTTGGACAATTACGAAGAGGATGGTGGCGGCGCAGCTGAGGAGCAGTCGGACAACTGGGAATTGCAGAATGGTAGCTCAAGCGGCGCGAAACCCACAGCGGTGAAGTCCAACGCAGAAGAGGCGGGTGGCGCAAAGGGCAAATTGGGCGTTGAATCTGTTGTTAAGGGCGCCGCTGGTATGATGGCCGATGGCCCAGTCTTGCCGGCAGCACAGCAGCAGCAAATGCCCTCGGCGCCATCGACCAGCCAGCCGACCGTCGACCCATACTTCACCCACTTCGATCCGCACTACGAACATCAGAGCTACAAAGTAAGTCAAAAAGTAAGTGTACTCCATTGAAATGTGCATTTTATCAACACAAACCGAACATATTCTAAAACAAGGAAGCCCAACAGCGCCTCGAGGAATCGCATCGCGAGAAGGTCACACGTGTCATGAAGGACTGGTCCGATTTGGAGGAGAAGTATCAGGATATGCGCCTAGCCGATCCAAAGGCTGCACAGAGCTTCAAGCAACGCATGACCGCACGCTTCCAGGTGAGTGGGAAAGTTGCCTAATTGGATTGCATTCGTGTGTATATGTGTGTGTGTGCATGCTTTGACACACCCACTACATATATTTAGCGCGTTTATGTAGATTTAAAGGAAATTTGCATGCGCACAGCACGTAAATGTACTCGCACTCTTTCTCTTCCCGCACTTTAACGCAAGTTTTTTTTTATATTAGTAGCTTATTGCATGACGCGCAGTACGCACACAGGTAGGGAGAAAGCTTTCGAACGCTGTAAATGAACGCAGCTGTGATTTAAATCGAAGCCTTAGTCATGAAGTGAAAGCTTTCAATGCAAGCTTTTCGAAAACAAATGAAAGTTCAGTTACGCAGTGAAGGCTTTTCTAAAAGTGAAAGTTTGAAATAAAAGCCATTGCTTTCTTATGAAATCTTACGTCAGAAATTCATATTTTAATTGTTGAAACTTACAAGCTCAAAGCTTTTTATCAGAGCTTTCAAAGCCAATGCTCGAAAGCTGCTTACTGCGCTTATAAACTATCACATTTCCTACTTTTATTCAGCTCATCTATTCATCATTCTCATGTTCAACACACCAGTTTTTTCAACACTTTATTTTCAATCATTTTTCGTTTCGTTTCATTTCGGTTGTTCATTTTCTTTTTGCCGTCACTAACTTTCACCTCATTTTCGCACCGTATGCACTTAATTTAGTATGTTTCTTATAAGCCAAATGGGAGTGAAAGAGATATCAGATTGGAAGCTTTTGTAGCTGTCATTCAATTAGAACCAAAATTTATAAAAATTTAACTTTATTTCGGAAATTTTTGCTTTTTATAACCCCTACGTGTAGCCTGGCTTAAGTGATTGTTCTAATTAGCTGAGCATGTTTTAGAAAAAAAAAGACAGCCCCATATTTGTGAAAGCTTCTCAAGAGTTAAAAGTTACACGTTAAAAAGGACGCTTCTTGTTGTGCTTTTGAAGCTTTTCGTATAAGCTAAAACTTTTAAAGTTAGCTATAGTGTTATAGTGGCGGGGAAAAGCTGTTAAACAGAGCTTTTTACCTTTTCTAAAAGCTTTTAGTAAGACAAAACTTGAAAAAAAAGTTTCTTAGTATGATAAAAGTATTACTTTTTAAAAACAAGAAATATTTTAGCTGTAAATGGATGGGATTGGGCCTTTTTTTAACGTAACAACTTCTAAGGAGGTACAAAGCTTTTAGTGATTTACATCATTGTTGGAGCTTTTTATTTGGTAAAACATTGAAAAGTTAAAAGTTAAACTTAAAAGCGGTGCTTTTGCTGTAGTGACGCAAAAATAGCATAGCTGCTGCCAGCTAAAATAAGAGAAATAAGCGCTTTTATTTGTTTTTGAAAGCTTTTAGTGGGAATCTTAGGTTTTGTTTATTTTAATGTCTTCAAATTTGCTCTGCTTCTGTCTTATTTCCTACTGTGAAGCCTTTTTACAGCGCTATGGTTTGCTGTATTTTCTTTAGATGCTAAAAGCTTCAAAAATGTAGTTTTTATTCGTAGATATCCCAGTCATAACAACAGTTTTTATAAGCTGAGAAGCTTTCAAGCTTTCCAACCCCAAATAAAATCTACCAAATTTAATAAGCTCTAAGATCTTTTAAAGCTTGAACTTCAAATTATACGCAAACGATTGGGCTTCTCAGGCTTACTAGCTCTAAAGCCCAAAAAGTAATTTGTCAAATCTCGATATGTCTCTTCAAAGCAACTGCGCTTTTAGGTTTTTAGTCTAAGTCAAAAAAGTAGACAGTTAAGGAAGCCCAACCTCGATTGAACTTAAGCTTCCGAAAGTTCTCCTTAATTGTGTAGCGTGGAAATTAGGCTATTTAGATGCACTTGCCCACATAGGAGAAGCGAGTTTACCAGTCCAATTTGGAAAAATTTCTGCTCGGCACACTTTCCAGTACTCACTCACTCTTGCGTGAAGTAAAACCAAAAAAGTAGCGAGCTAAAACCTAGCGTCTCCTTCTAACACAATCCACCATCACCACCGCCACCGTTAGATTATCATTCACATTTCGTTTTTTTTTTTTTGTCAAAATCAAAGATTCAAAATGCAAAATTCGAAAATCTACCAGCCAATCAACCAATTCCCCTCAAAAACCAAATTGCAATTCGTTCATTCTACTCTCTGATTGATTCTTTCTCTCTTGATGTGCTATACGTCTTTATATGGGAATGTAATTTTAGACTTCTGTTCAGGCACTCGAGGAAGAAGGCAACGCCGAGAAGCACCAGCTGGCCGCCATGCATCAGCAGCGCGTACTGGCCCACATTAATCAGCGCAAACGCGAGGCGATGACCTGCTACACACAGGCGCTCACCGAGCAGCCACCAAATGTGAGTTGTCCGCCAAGGCGCCGAAGTGACTTTGTGTTTGTGGCAGTCGCTGATATGCGCTCTCTTTCTTCTCCCCTTCCCTCCTTCTCTCTTTCTTCGTATTCCCCCTCTTGTAGGCTCATCATGTCGAGAAGTGTTTGCAGAAGCTGCTACGCGCCTTGCATAAAGATCGCGCACACGCTTTGGCGCATTATCGTCACCTCTTGAACTCCGGCGGTCCAGGTGGCTTGGAAGCTGCCGCCTCGGATCGACCACGCACTTTGGAGAGACTCATCGATATCGACCGCGCTGTCAATCAGTCCATGACCATGCTGAAACGCTACCCAGAATTGTCTGCCAAGATTTCACAGTTGATGAATGACTATATTTTGGCACTGCGCAGCAAGGACGACATACCCGGCTCATCGTTGGGCATGAGTGAGGAAGCAGAGGCGGCCATTTTGGATAAGTATCGCGTTGAAATTGAGCGCAAGGTAGCGGAAAAGGAGCGCTTGCGCTTAGCCGAGAAGCAACGTAAGGAACAGCGCGCCGCCGAGCGTGAGAAATTGCGCGAAGAGAAGTTACGCATGGAGGCCAAGAAGGTGGATGAGCTGCTTAAGTCGCAAGCCGACCAAGAAGGTGGCGCCAGTGGCGCTGGCTCTACTGGTTCATCCACCACTGGCGGCTCCTCCTCCGGCTCCGGCGCATTGGGTGATTCAAAGGTGAGCAGCAAAGAAATCGGCCAACTGGTGGATACCACCAAATTGTCACAGAGCGAAAAGGATAGTAATGGCGGTGAAGAGTACGCCGATGTCACTGTCAGGTGCGTGTGTCAACTAGATATGTAGGGAATTTGCTTTAACTTCTAAATAATTCTTCCTTCTCCTTTGCAGCACCAAAACCCAAACCGTCCTGCCCACAGTCGACGATGATGCCGTACAGCGCGCTGTTGAGGATGTAGCTGCTGCTGTCGCTCACCAGGAGGCTGAGCCACAGGTGCAACATTTCATGTCGCACGATTTGGGCCATCGCGAATCGGTAAGCCTCCGTTCATTTAGACAGTTGGATATGATTGCTTAAGCTCTTTTAATTTCTTTTACAGAGCTTTTCGCTGCGTCGCGAATTCGCCCATACGCACGCGAACAAGGAGGGACGCAATGTCTACTTCACTTTGTCGTTCGCCGGTGTTGCATTGTTAGCGGCCATATTTGTTGGTGTCGCAGTAGCCAAATGGAGAACAGCTCGTTCGCCACATGCGCAAGGCTTTATTGAGGTTGATCAGGTAAGCGCAGGTTGCGAGAAAAGACCTGAAGAGCTCAAACTGAGTGAAGAATGGTAAAGTGAAGTATGTTTGTTGAAAAGTGAAAATTGCCAACATACCAGTTCTTTTGCGGGGTCTTGTAGACACGTGACCCCTGTTGTTTAAATATTTTCAGCTAAAGTTTTGCTTCTTAACCCTAAGCAAAGATTCACTATATGTTTACCATAGTGAGGAATTTCAAGAATAATCTCAGAGAAAATTGGCAACACCGGAAAATAAGTAGCTTCGATCATACGGTCTCGCTTTTAAAATGTCTAGTGGCCCTATTCATAAAAAAATAAATTATTTTAAAGAGCTTTATAAAGTATTTAAAATCTTATTTATTTTTTATGAATTTGGTTTTATGAATTCTTGAATTTCTGGTAAAACGGGTAATTATATATTTACTGACATTTCAGCACTGAAGATTCATATACAAAGAAAATGTATCAAGTATCCTAATACATCTGAGATTTTCACAGATTCCTTATAAATATATATAGTAATTACGTGATTCAAGTATTACACTGTAAAAAATTTATGAATTGCCCTTAGTGAATATTGGCAACACTGTCACAGCTTACATAGCCTTCTAAATATTTTTTAAGACTATATTTTTATATAGTACTGAAAATGTATATATATTTGTAGAATAACTATTTTAAAGATTTTACATGAAAATTATGATTTTTTTTTAGATTTTGATATAAACTGAGTATAATGTAGAAATACCTCTAAGAAATGGCAAAACGCGAGGAATGTAAAAAAAAAATAAAATATGCAAAAGTTATACAACAACAAAAATATTAGGTGTCCCGCCGTAAGCCATTGTTTTTCACATCATATCTCGATAAATATTGGTTGTATCAAAAAAATCAATTAGTACTTTTTTATTGACAAAGAGTCACAGATTTATAAAAGATTTTTAATTTGTTTTAAGTCCACTTTTCTATACGTTTGTTAATGAACAATTTAGAAAGTTGCTAAAAAAACATGTTTGCAGGTTTTTAAAAATCTGCAAAAAATACATGTGATAGAGTGAATATCAAAGATTTAACTGACAAATTTTTAAAGGGTGTCTCGATATAGGGCCTGAGATATTAATTGTTTAGTAAAGCAGTGACTGATAAACAAATTTAAAAAATAATAAATTTAAATTAAAATTACATCAAAATACCTCAAGTGGGGTACTTAAAAACCTTTTCTTTCGGATAACCAAGATAGGTTCGTACTTTGGTAGAGGTCCAGGTAATATTTGTTTCCCTTAACTTTATTTGGCAATAATCCTCTTACTTTGCGAAAAATCGCGAATTTAAAATTAACATAATCATTTCTTTGATTGGACATATCTCCTGAACGGGCAGAGATAACTATTTCAATTTTCTGTCCCTTCTAGGGAAATAATTTTAGAATTTCTATTGGATTCTCCGAGTTTTTCACTGAAATTCGGCAACAAAGCTGCGCATGTTAACTTTTTTCAACTGAAAAAGATTGTGCTTTGATCAATCTGCGGATATTTTTAGGAGTTTTCAAGGACCTAATTGAATTAATTATTTCACGTTAGTCATAAATCTCAAAAATACTCTACTGAAACTTTTCAACACGCCACATTTTTCAAAGCGTTCTTTGGTGTTAGCTTTTTTCAGCTGCATTTAGTGAAGTTCATTTGCTTTCTATTGAGATTCAACATTATTGAAAATTTTTTAAATTTCCACCGCGAAAATTGGTAACACAGAAAATACTTTGGGAGCTTTTTCTTACTTTTGAATACAAACCAATAAAAAAACTACAATCAAATCAAAATAAAAACCTATAAATTAATAGAAAAGTCAACTATTTCGATCAGTGAAAAGTGGCAGCAGGGATACCTCATTGGATATACCAACCATTCTTTAAAGTTAATTAGGCCATACAATTCAATTAAAATGTCAGCCATCACTGCCACAGCTGGGCAAATCTAAAATTTTTAACCTTATCTGAGTAAATCGAGAAATGGTGAAAATTGGCAACATCGCATATTAAAATTTGGAATTTTCACCAAGACAAGCCTTTAGACAGCAATATCTGCCAACGTTATTACTTTCCTTATTTATCAATTTACTAATAATAATTCCCACACATTTCACATTTCCAGAACGCCACCACACATCACCCCGTTGTACCGGAGGAGAAAATCGTGGCGAATATGCAAATCAATGGCTATGAAAATCCAACATACAAATATTTCGAGGTGAAGGAGTAAAAGCACCAAGAAAATAAAAAAGAAATTTATAAAATAAAAACAAAATTTGCAAATATTGTAAACGCACTCAGCAACTCAGAAATCCAACTAAAGGAGAAGTAAGACCCCGCCCTCCCCCATGAAAGTAAAATACATAACTAAATCAAACTCCCTATAAAAAGCCTGCTTTATCATGCCACTTATACATACTTACATACATAAGAGAGAATGTAATAAAAATAAAAATGAGTCATGCTAAATTTACAAAAAAAAAACAACCCGTGAATTATACCAACCATATTTTCCAAAAGAAAAATGAAAATAATTCTAAGCAAATTTAAGAAAATAAGGAAATTTAAATAAAATCGGAGCGCAGTTCCAAGGTAGCAGAAGAAGAAAATGTAAAGTGGTAAAATAGTGAAAGCAAACACAAAAGCGAACACAAAGAAAGGGGCTCATAAACGAAGTAAAAGAACTAAAACTGATAAAAGCGCAAATAAAAACAGACAAAATTAAAAAAAAAAAAACGAAATAAAAATTCGCAAAATTAATTTTTGAAAGTGAAAAATCGAGCTCAAATAAACAGCGATTACAGCTCGAAATTTATACTCAAAACACAGATACACATACATACATGAATAGACATGAAAGCCCCCAAAACACTCACTCAAACATTCACTTACCCTCTACTCACTCACTCACTCACTCACTCACTCAATGGTAAAAAATTCAGAATTCTTTCATACTCCACATTTGAATAAAAAAAAAACGTATGTTGTTCTTGTTTAGAAAGTATTAATTAAAAATTATGTGTAATGGTAATGAGTAACAGAAAAAAAAAATTAAAAACTTACAATTAAGTAACAAATCAAGCAGAAGCAAATTAATTTTAAGCAAAATGTGAAAGAAAAGGTTTGCAAATGGAAACAGCAAATGAAGGTGTGCGAGATTTTATTTAAGTATCAAAGTAAAAAAATAATAATTTTGCGCAACAATTAAAGCTAAATGGAAAAATAAGCAGATTTCTACATTTTTTTCTAACAAAGGGGCAACCATTTTCAGTGCAAGAGAATAGCTAATGCGTAAGCAAAGGGGGACTAAGCGGTACTTCAACGAAAATTATTTGAAACTTAAAACTTTTTTGAACGAGAGTAGAGATAAAATAGAGCGAGAACTGCAATGAAAAGAGCGTAGGAGAAAAAGTGAATGAAAAGCTTTAAAAAGCTAAGGTGAAAGAAAGAATTCCGAAGTTAGAGTATTTTTAAATAGAAAAACGAGAGATTCGTGAAAAATAAAGTGGAAATATAAAGCTTGCGCTATGCAACTTTTTAAAAAGCAAAGAAGTAAATGACTAACTTATTCACAAATCAAATAAAATGTACAAAAATTAGTAAACGAGACAAAAGAGAAGCGTATCTACTAGAAAAACTAGTGAAAAACTGTTTAAGGAGCGGCAGGATATACAAAAGAAAGAGCATTGGGGGTAAAATTTATAAAATTAGTAAGTTATTTTCACTCAACTGAAGAGACTATCGAAAGCCCCCTAAAGCAGTAATGCTCAAAACAGCGCCCGCGGGCGGAATTCTTCAAAGCTCTCTGTAAATTTTTTATGGACGCTCACAGAGTAAAATTTCTCTCTGAACCACACTATCCTAAAGGCACTCTAAAAACTCCTAGAGCTATAGTGAGCAGCTTCTTTCTAGTTCTCCGAGCTTTTTTGAGCTCTCAATACAACTGGTATGGGCATGTACAAGGGATACCTCGTATTACTTTCCTCTAATAAATAAATATTCCTTTTATAAATATACGTTGACTTTCGAAGAGCATCTTGAAACATACCAACAAGCTTTAGTAAGAAAAAAAAGCTCGCTGAACATTTAATAAATTTACAATGAAATAACAGGCAAACAACTGAGGAACGCACTAAGAAAGAAACATCGCCAAAACCTTTTAGAAAAGCACACCACGTAACGAAAGCGTTCAAGCTTTAATCTTCCTTAGCTTACATACAATTTCGCTCGGAAGCTCCTCTCTCACTCTCCGTCTCAAAGTCCCTCTCTACCCATGCAGATTGAAATTCTCTCGCACTCACTCCTACATACTGCATTCAAATTAAATTAAAAGAAAATGAGAGCAAAAATTGTACTTTACATAAAAATCAATAAACTTATAATAGGTAAGTGAAATTTTTTGTGAAAGCGAAAATATGTAAAATCGATGTAATAAATAGCAAAACAAAAAAATGGAGAACGCAAAAAATTATAGAACTTATCACGCCTATAAGAGAAAACCAAAACAAAAACAAAAAATAACTTTCACTCACTCTATTCTTAACAAAAATACAAAAACAACAATCGCCTGCTTTTCATTAATAACCCAAAAGAAACGCTATAAATAAGAGGTTAGCATTAGCTGGTTAAGAATTCTATAGTATATATACATAGATATATATAAAATGGACAAAAATAAATAAAAGAGAGAAATAAATGACGCGCATAAAATATGTTTACATACATAAATACATAGCTATATAAATGCCTGCTGCTATTCTTATACATACTCTAAACACGTACACGGATGGATAGAGAACAAATGGATATATGCTAACAGCAAATACATAAAGACATACAAACATACATACATATAAGTTATTAACAGATAAGACAACGAACCGGGATACAGTTGTGCTTTTAGGTTGCGAGAATTCTGTGTAAGCTCTGAAAAGCTTTCGAAAGCTGATGAAGAAAGTAATGAGAAAAGTGCGCGGAAGCTTTAAGTTACACTCCACTGTTTGCAAGCAAACGCTCTTCAGACCAGCTTGTGGAAACTGCTTAGATGTTTTCAGAACAAGTGTTCTTCTATGCATATAATGTATTAGAAAGCTCAAAAAAGCTCTGTACGCGTACATGGTTGCTTCTCAAATTGGTTTTTGAAAGCTTATGAAACAATTTTCAAAATAAAAGCTCTAAGTAGATACGACTCTATACGTTTTATATATAGGCGCGAACAGGCAAAACACTTTTTGCGCCCAATTTTAATCAAATTCAGTCACTTCTAAAACATAGCTCGCACTAAAAGATGTTTTAAAGCTTTCTTTGGATTTCATTGGCCGCCCACAGAGTAAAAGCCCTATCAACAATGCGCAAACTTAGAGTCTTTTGAAGCTTTTTTGAAGAGAATGGTCACAGACAAATCCCTTACTATACTCAGAGAGGGCCGAGCTTTCTTTTTTCAATGAAATACCTACAACTGTATCCATATTCTCGAAAGTTTTCAGAACTATTTCTATGGTGAAAGCTTGAGAGAGAAGTTGAAATGAGTCGTCGCATAATAATATGAAGAACTAAGAGCAAACTAAAGAAATGTTATATAGTCTTCGCACTTTCGAGTGCATATGAAAGCTTCACAAAAATTGTAATCGATAGTAACCGAAGATATTCAGCTCAATTCAAAGCTATCTGTTCACGCCCCGTCTGCCACAAGCTCATTACAAAGACCACACCCAATTAGAACACACCCACAACCATAAATACACACTCAAGTAAACAGTTGAGGCGCTACAGCAGATAAAAGAGGAGGACCTCATCAACTTTTACAAACAAACTTGCATACAAATTCACTAATTTCCTATTCGTCGAAAATCGTTCATATCAATTTTGCATGTTTACATAAATATATTTATTATTCTTAAGCAATAGTTTTAACTATACTCGTGTATTTAGTATAATTAATTTATCGTTTCAATTATATAATTTAATTACTTAACAAACACAATTTTCAATATTTGTGTAAACTTAATCAGACGCAAACGTCAACACTCGAAACAATTAGAGAACTGAGTGTAAGAAAAGACAAAAATTATGTAAAAAAAAAAAACTTAATTCATTAAGTGTTTAAATTTGCTTACACATGGCAAAACAAAAACTTACTTACATTTTTTCAATTATGTATACTATTGACTTATGTACTTGTGCTTAGTTGCTGCTAAATAGTTACTTAGTTGATGTGCAGTATTCGTTAATTGATAAGTTATTAATATTTATAATAAAATATATGCATGAATGAAAAAATTCATTTCAAAGCTAGTGAAAAAGAATCGGCAAGTTGAAAAAAAAACATCTTATAAGAATTAGTTTGAAATTTTGTGTCCCAAGGCATGAGCTGGCTTTTGACTTGCTAGCTTCGAGAACTTAAAATCCGTTTAAGGAATTTCCGTGAAAAATTCAAAAAATTATTATCGCTGACTTATAGCCAAAATATTGTTAACTGGTTGAAAATTATAAACACATTTTCAACTGAATGAAATTAGAGGCAGCACAGAGAGTGAGAGCGCCACTCTGGTGCTTACACTTCTATTCAAGCAGAACAAGAACAAATGTGCAATACATACTCTGTGGCAAAGAGTGTTAAGCAGAGACAAGCATAGCAATGGCACGGGCTTTATATACATACATATTTTTTTAAAGATAGGTGTATGTATGTAGTATAAGTGTTACAAAGAAAGAGAGTTACGGCCTTTTGGACATATGCATACATACATATGTGGACATATACATGCATACATATATATAAAATCATTCAAAGCTTAAAAAAGCTCAGAGTCAAACAAATCCGCTAACGAATGTGAGCTTCATAGTCTTGAATTCTTTTTAAATTAGGAATATTTAAGAGGTCAAAAGAACTCACTGGCTATGTCTGCATTCACTTAAGATATCCTTAAGCCTAACATTATTTTAGAGTCAAACAAATCCGCTTACGAATGTGAGCTTCATAGTCTCGCATTCCTTTCAAATTATAAATACTTAAAAGGTCAAATATAATCGCTGGCTATGTCTAAACTCACTCAGGATACCTTTAAGCCTATTCCAAACATTTCGAGTCAAAGGTGGCCCGATTTCCCAGTCCAGAAAAGGGAATAATAAAAAGAAATATACCAATAAACTTATTGATTCCACAGATCCTATTCAGAAGCGCGATGAAATTCTGCTGTCTTAGCTGCTGAACCTTAGGTGCAAGCGCCTCCTTTGAAAAAAATCGAATCGCGAAAGCTCGGGCAATTTACGTCACGCATCATATTAGATATTTAGTAATGCAGTTGTTTCCTTTGAATGACTAAGATTTTATCGCACGAATCATTATCCCGGCCTCTTTTTGCTGTCATAGCTAACAGCTCGCAGCAAAAAGCAAAACAGATTAAAACTCGCTCTATGGGATTTCATATCATAAAGAGCTTTTGCTTATTTACCTAATTGAGCACCAGCTCAATATGAACAGGTGTCTTTAGCTAACAGCAAACAACAAACGTTTTTGGTGGAAAACGCGCAGCCATAACTCTAGCTAAGGTAGGCCTATTGCAACTCGGTGCGTACGTGCCTTGTACAGTTATGTTTAGAGAGGCCTCCTCGACTAGATGCAACGTAGATATAAGTAAAACTTGTAAAGTGCTTGAAAAGAGCTTTGCATGCATGCTTGAAAGGTTATTCCGACCATTGCTCAAGTCCAGTGAGGAACGGATCGAGCATGCTTGTATATACAAGTGGGCAAGTTGGTGCTATCACTCCTCTAGTTCATAGTTGCCCTATTTATGGGCGCGCAGGCAAGCTCTTAAAAGTTTTCTATAGATTTTATGTGCACGCAGTCAGAGTAAAATCTGTATCTGACTGCCACTGTTTGATGGATCTGTCGCGACCAAAACACATCCCACAAGTAAGCTTTTTAAAGCTTTCTGTAGATTTTATAAGGCCACGCAGCGAACAAAAGCTCTCCCTAATCGTCAGTGTTTTAGATAGACGTACTCTAGGTAAAAGCTTACTCTTTCTCATTTTCTCTCTCTAGTTAGCGCTTCTTTAGGCCACTCTATTTCAATTTTGAACTTAAACAACACCAATTCTCAACCACTTTATAATATTTTCGCTATAAAAGCAAATACCCCAACACTTTTGTTAAGAAAAATATCAACCGATTTTTTCTACACAAAAACAAAACCAACAAGAAGACTCTCCGCTCCCCCGAAAATACAACACAAACACATCGCAACAACAATTAGCGAAAAGCATAAATCTAAACAAAAAATAACGCGACTAAAATTGTTTATAAATAAAAATAACTACAAAAACAATTACAAATTCTTAACAAATGCAAATTTATAAAGCAACTCTAAGCAAAAGCAAATGTAAGCGCAATAGAGTAATAAGAAAAGAAAATGCTAAGCAAACCAAAAACAAAAAACCTAGTCAAAGCTTAAATATTTTTATGTTTATTTATTACTATATAGCAAGAAACAAAAACACATACACGCGTCTATATACATACATACATACTATATATGATATATACATACATACATATACAAAAATATATATATGTGACATGTAAATGCAACAAATCAATAATAATAACAACAACAAGAACAACCGCAACAATTGATATTTACACTTACAATTAGCGATGAAGAAGAAGAGAAAAAAGAAGCGTAAAAATTAATTTAAAAAATTTATAAGCAAAAAAACAAGCATACAAAATAGATGAAAACAAAAAATGGAGAAATTGTAAGCAAAAACCCCGTCCTGCGTGAATAACATAAAATGAAAAATGAAATGAAAAACAAAAATTAAAGTTAAAAATAAAAATTTAAATAAAAAAATTAAATTAAAAAACAAATAACTGAAAAAGACACAAAATCAAACAAAAACCAAACAAAGAAAAACAAAAGCAAAATATCAAGAAGTAAATTTACTAAGCGTAAAATGTTGCGAATGAAAAAAAAACAAAAGTAAGATGTATTTAAAAAATAAAAATAAATTTAAAAATAAAAATAACAATAATAGAAAAACTTGCAACTGTTTTTCGGCGTCGCTCTCCCCCCTTGAAATATTTTAGTTTGTGTAATGTTAAAAAATGCAAAAAAAAATAATAAATTTTTCATATAAAAAATTTAAAAATATATGGTACATATATAATTTTTCACACATTCCTCTTTTTATTTGGCTTTCATTTCTCTCCTTCGTTTTATGGCCCATAAAATCCTTAATAAAAGCAAAAAATACATTTATTACATAATTAATTATTGTATAATTGCATCAAAACATAAAACATGAATGACAACAAAACCAAAAATTATATATAAATTAAAAAAAAAAATATTATATATATATGTGAATGTACTCAATGACAATTGTAATTGCAACAATAATTGTACGCTAATATTATTATATTTAGTAGAACAAAAACAACAACAAAAACAAACAACAGTAACACAGCAAAAACAACAACACCAACAGTACTAAAAACAATAGTCAAAATACCCAGCACCCAAGAAGAAAAAAAAATAAATACAGAAACAAAACAGGAACAAAACAGGAAACGCCACAAAACACTTTATTTGTAGACAACTGGCAACACTTTTTTTTCTAAGGAAATAAAAACAGAAAACATGCAACACAGTACCGCGTTAGTCAAGCGAAAAATGCAACCTTGTCGCGCATTTGACAGCAAATAACGGAAAACTCGTACAGCTCCACAAATACCAATTGAAAATACACTGAAACAGTTTGTAAATTTTATTTGCAAAAATTCATATTCGCGAGCGAGCCACACACAAGCTGAGCAACTAAAACACCCCGTATCCACTTGTGCAACAAAATATTATCTGCGTGTGGCAACGCCAATAGCTAGGGATTGTCAAATGTTTCACACGTCCCGCACCCAAAAGCCGTAGTCCGAAATATTAAAGCGAATTTGTAATTTAAAAAGTTAGAAAGGAAAGCTACTACTATTACATACAATAAGTTAATGTTTCGAGCATGGAAAAGTGGAAATATCGTCGAACAAAGGCAATGATGAAAGCAAAAGCGAGTATTTAAAAGAAACACAAAACTGTAAGCGAAAGAAATCGTAAGAAAATATGGTAAATTTAATTCAGTGTAAACAATAATGATGAAATGAATATAGTAAAAACAACAATAAAAAAACCCTATACTAACACAAACACCACAAAACATACATACAACATACAGGTAGATAAATACTGAAATCCAAAACACACACAAACACAACCAGCAGTATAAAGCAGAGGAGAAGAAACAACAAAAGCAAATGTAAAAGCAAAATGAAGTAAGAAGAAACAAAGTAACATACAACAATTTTTTTCTTTCGAATTTTTTGTGTTCTTTTTTCGAAATATTTTGCATAAATAATAAAATTAAAAAAAAAAAACAAAAAACAAAAAAAAGAGCGCTGTTTTTATTTAAAGAAAAAAATAATGAAAATTTTAATTATTACGGTGAGTACGTAAAAAGCTGAATTCTATGAAAAAAGTGGGTAGTGAAAGCTCTTCTAGTGATGTGAAAGCTGCAAGGTGTGCATGTGACTATCTGAAATGTTAAAAGTTTAAAAACAGCTTTTCGTGTCTGCGACGTTTCTCCGCCACTGTTCTAAAGTAATAAGTTCCAAACGACCCATATAGAGAGCTTAAAAAATCGCTACTAGCATGCATAAGTGCAAAAAGAGCCCTGAACGGAGTAAAATATAGGAAAATGTTTGCCTTTACCCTGTTTATGGATATAGAAAATGTGTAGAATGCTCTGAAAGCTTTTAACGTACAATGCATAGCTGCTATAAAACCGAACTATAGCATCAGTTGCACACATTCTAAGCTTTTCTGAGCTTCCGACATTTGTTTAATGAATAAGTACAGATTAAAAGCTCTTTCTGGCTAAACTGGTATAAATAAATGTATACTGAAAAATTTTAAGTGTACTTTACTTGCTAATGAGTAGTTTATATAAAGTAAGAGAGCTTTTTACTGTACTACAAAAAAATAATCATCGTAATAGGCGTGAATAAAAGCAAATGAGAGAGAAGCGAGAGAATATCAAGGGGAGTAAAAAATAGGTTTTTATATATTTAAAAAAATTTGCTATGAATATTTCCTTCAAGTGAGCTTTAGTTCGCGTAAGCTTAGTGGATACTTGATATACATACCAACTCCTCAGATTTTTATGAAGCAACAATTGGGAATACAGCATGCAGAGATTTTTAAAGTTTTCTAGACATTTTGTATAGGCTTTCAGAGAGTAAAAGATCCCTCTCTGCCTATGACTGGCTTAAATTCATCATTCACAAAACATCGTTCAAATCACTGGAATAAACAACCACGACCGTGGCATCCTAGCAACCATTACAGCTGATGTGCCTTGAAATCTTTCATTAATTAGCGAAAACTGAGTAAAATCGATCTAAATATAACAGTAAACCTAAAATACAACGCAGAAAAGTTTGCGATTTTAATTGAGTTGTTCAGATATTGTGCATGTAAAAGCTCCTTAAACCAATTACAATTTGTGAAAGCTCCCCAAAAAACTAGCCTAAGTTTCGCAAAAACCATTAAAAGCTTAAATTTATTACGAAAGTATTAGCTTAAAGTATTAAAGTTATTAGTATATAAGCAGCTTCCTTGTCTGGAAAAAAATTATAAAAATAATTTAGAAAAGAACTTTTCATAAAACTGAAATTTTAAATTAAAAATACATTAATTTTTATTAAAAGGAGAGCATTTATTCCTTTCCGACTTTTAAGCCTACTATGAAACATCTGAAAACTGGAGGTGCCATGACTCTGTTGTATTAATTTTTATAGTTTTATTTT